GACCTCAGCCGAAGGAGGAGGAAGAGGGTCCGTCGGCCGAGTAGGGGCAGATGTCTCAGCATGACGAGCACGATCATATGCACGCACCATCATCCTGGTGTGCTCCAAGTGCTCGAGGGGTTCCCAAGTAGTCTCCTCATCAGGATAGCCCTTCCAACGCACAAGGTAGTCAATGCGTGGAGGGGTATCGTCGGTAACTCGACGAGATACGATGTCGGAAACGACGAACTCCTCGTGATCGTCCACCATGATAGGTGGAGGGCGCTCATGAGGATGTCCGACGAAGCGCTCGGACGGTCTGCGATACGAACGCAGCAAGGAAACGTGGTGAACATCGTGTAGCTTCACACAGACGTTGACCGGACTAGCGGCAGTATTGGCCTGAAGGATGCGGCATGGACCGAAGAAGCAACGCCTGAACTTGCGAAGCGTATCCGCTTCGAGCTGCAAGTGGCGTGCGTCGACGAGCACATCATCACCGACTTTGAATGGATGATCCTTTCGTGATCGGTTCGCTCGTGCGGTCATGCGAGTCTGGGAGTCGGCTAGACTCTCGTGTGTGCGCTTCATAATCGCCACCATGTGGGCGATCCAGTCGTCAAGCGCAGGACAACGAGTGTCTGGGCGCAGCCACGACGGTCGTAGGAAATCCGCGGGTGCGCGAGGGTGGTAGTCGAGGTCGCAATAGAACGGTGACATCCCCTTGCCTGACGAAACAATGTGGTTGTATGCAATCTTCGCGAGGGCTAAGTGTAAGTCCCATTGCAGGTCACCCCTAATAAACTTTTGGAGAATATTACCGAGAGTTTTATTGGTGACCTCAGTCTGACCATCCGTCTGAGGGTGGTAAGACGATGAGAAGCGGAGCCGGGATCCGTACACCTCGTGTAGGTGTCGTCATAATGTGTTGGTAAAGCGCGGGTCACAATCGGAGATGGTGCTATGAGGAAGTCGTGATCTCTCACGACTCGGATGAAGACGATATCGGCGACCTCACGAGCGCTAATGCGATAACGACACGGGACAAAGCATGCATGCTTCGTGAAGTGATCGACGACAACCAAGATGGCATCATGACCGTGCTCAGTGGGTGGAAGAAGGGGACCAATGAAATCCATCGAGATGGACTGCCAACGACCCTTAGGTATGGGTGGGGGCTGAAGTAACTCATACGGAAGGTGGTTCGCACTGTTCACCTCCTGGCATGTTGGACACTCCTGGATGTAGGCTTTGACGAAGTCGTTGGACTTCGGCCAGACGTATATAGGCGACGAACACGAGCCAACTTCTTATGGAAGCCCATATGACCAGCAATTGCCTTGTCATGGAACTCTGCTATAGCCTGGATGCGGAGCTGTCCGGTGGAGGGAACGCAGATACGTGGTTCTAGCTGACGAGTTGAGCCATGCCAGTACACGAGGTCATTCTCACCGAGTGAGTATGAGGGAATGGTCTTGCCACTTCGCAGTGTCGCGTGGATGACGCGATAATCCGGGCAGTGGCGGTACTAAGTGCGATATGAGTCGATCATCGATTGATCAAGAGTGGTGATGGAGATGACAGCAAGATAGATGAGCAAGATAGATGGGTTCCTGATTGTGATCAGGACGGCGGGACAATGCATCGGCGACGCGATTCGTTTCACCCTTGATGGGCTGAGCCGTGAAACTGAACTCGGATAAATCACGCCATCAGCGTGCCTTTCGAGGGGAAAGTTTGGGCTTCGTTAGGAAAGCCTGAACAACTGAGTTGTCTGTGCGCACCGTTAAGGGCGCCCCGTGCAGATAATGACGCCAATGTCGGGTAGCATAAACTACTGCGAGAACCTCACGTTCATCAACAAAGTAGTTTATTTCGGCAAGCAGTATCTGACAGGAGTAGAAAGCGATTGGGCAATCCCCAACACGAGCCTCGACAGTGTCGTGATTTGCGATGGTCCGGGAGTAAGTAATGGGAGGACTGTCAGTGGAGGGAAGTAGAGGGAGGATAGGCGTCAGTCGAGAAGCAGTGTTAGCAGGAGGGGGTGGGAAAGGAGGAACATGGGGATAAGGTGAATCAGGAGGAGAGGGAAACACCTTAGAAAGTACAGCTCCCACTGCAAAATCTGACGCATCAATGGTGACGATGAAGGGACGGTCAAAATTGGGAAGGCGAAGAACCGATGCACAAGTTACCGCGTTCTTGAGGGCGTGAAAGGCGTCCTCGTAGAGGGGTGTCCAAAACTATGACGGGTTCTTCCGGAGGAGGGTGGAGGTAAGGACGCACACTGGATCTCTGAGATGAAATTATTGAATCCTAAATTTTCGGAACAGATTGACTTGATATTGCAATCAAAACAAAAACTCAGAGAATGATATAGCCCATTTTTCATTTAAATTCAAAATGACCCTGGTAGTCCATGCCGTAAACGATGAGTGTTGGTCCTTGGTCTACACCCGGTGAAAAACAAACAAATAAAAGTGATAAAAAGTCAGACTAAGTTCACAAATTTTGACAAAAAGAATACTAAATAAAACAGTAGTAGCTAAAAAAGCACCACAAATTCTATGAAAAATAGAGAAAGTAGAAGTTAATTGTGGCTTATAAATAAAGTGGTGTACCAGCAGTTAAACAACGATTTTTTCCTTTCATCTTTGTCACTTTGAAGTGAGAATCAAAGGTTTAGGTTATGGAAAGCCTTTGGCCTTGTAAACGAGTGGATGGTCCACTTAAACAATACAATTCGAGTGTACCATCTTCAAAATCATTTTGAAACAAACGGTCCATATTGGGAAGAAATGAGAATAAAATACACATCCAAATTAATCCTAAATTAAAATGAAATAAGCGAATCCCTCGATGAAATTACTATAGTAGCTAGTGAGGCCAAGGAAATTGCGAAGCTGCTTGGCAGATGCGCGGACGGGCCACTCTGCAATAGCAGTGATCTTCGTGTTGTCCATGTGGAGCCCCTGGTCAGACAAATGATGTCCTAGAAAGTCCATTTTGCTCTGGGCAAAGCGACACTTACATAGCTTGGCATAGAAGTCATGCTTGTGTAAGCGCTGTAGGACATCATGGCGGTGTTTGAGATGGTCTTCTAAGGTATGACTGTAGACCAAGATGTCGTCCAGGTATACGAGAACGTATTCTCCAAGGATGTCCCTAAAGATATCATTCATCGTCGGGTGCATTGGTGAGGCCGAATGACATCACTGTGAACTCGTAGTGGCGGAAGCGCAACTGGAAGGCGGTCTTCGACTGGTCCTCTGTGGCTATTCAGATTTAGTGGTAACCGCTACGAAGATCGATCTTTGTGAAGAAGCGGTTGTCTGCCAGACGGTCAAACAACTCATCCGCGCGAGGCATAGGATAGTTGTTCTTAACCATGTCATGGTTAAGGCCGCAGTAGTCAATGCAGAGGCGAAGGGTTCCGTCCGCTTTGCGAGGAAAGCGGACGGGTGCACCCGAAGGGGAGTTACTGGGTTTTATGAAACCCAGTCGAAGGAGCTCCTCAAGCTGATGCTGAAGTTCCGTCGCCTCTGGAATCGAGAGTCGGTAGGGTGCCTAATGGTCGACACGATAGCCAGGTACGAGCTAAATAGAATGCTCAACACCGCGCATCGGAGGGATCCTACGGACCTACTGTATGAGAAATACGGGGGGAATACGTCGCAGTACTCTTGAATCAAATCGCGAACGGCGGGCTCTAAGTCAGTTCTGAACCACATGAGTTCCTTAACGTCTGCGTCGGCACGAGACGTATAGGTGAACTCGACAGTGAACGGCGTAGGGACCTGGGATGTCGAGAGGGTATCCGCAGGCTGAGGGGTGGATGTAGAGATGAGAGCTGCAAAGATGGAGGAAGGGTCCAGGGGATCGGGCTCCAAGGAGATGAGCTCAACCTTGGGACAAAGTGGATCATAACGAAGAAGATCCACGACGTTCACTGTCGTATGAAGTGAGCAAATTGACGAAAAGTGAAGACGATGTCTGGGTGGGACCCAAAGGAACGAGGGGCCTGGGGAGGTAGGTCGGGAGGGGTGTCGCCTGTGATTCCAATGAAGTGGACTCGATGGGTCTAACCACACTTCGTTTTGAGAACGAGTGTCTCGGTCGCCCATTCGGCCTCTGTGCCACGGAACCGGCGAGACCAGGGAGTGCCAAGGATAAAGTCGTACCCTGTCTCCAGCATGTCGAAGAATGCGGAGGAATGGTAGCACTGAGGCGCCTGGGTACTATCTGGTGACTGGAGGGTGAGGGAAAAGTGGAGGTCGGGGACCGTCTGATCAAATAAGCAATGCGTCTTGTTATCTCTGAGGGTAACGGAGATAGGAGAGCGAGACCCAGGGGTAGCTAGATAAGCTTCCTCAACCACGCGAGGGTGAATGAAATCTCCCTGTGAGCCGGAGTCCCATAAAGCGTGATACACCCTCATAGATGTTCCCAAGCGGATAGGAATGATGGGGAGGGTGCGATCAGGGTCAGAGAGCAGAGTGAGAAGACGCCGCAGGACGTTCGTGTGTCTCGTGAGTCACTCCCGATGAGCCTGAAGAATGCTCAAATCCAGAAGAGATGACACGTCATGGCGAGTCGCCAACTGAGCACTACAACGGCTGTGCAAATGGGGCGACGCGTCGAAAATCTCGGAGAGGAAGGACTAGATGTGGCGGTCTGCGGTGGGGTATACGGTACCTCGACAGACAGCGGGGCAGAGGGAACTTCGTCTGCCGTGTCCTCAGGATCCTCTAGTGGGGTAACCAAAGGGGCAAACCGTGACTCGGTGGTCGGGAAGTCAGCGACGTGCGAGGCCTCAGTGGTACACTGCACCGTGGCTAGCTGGATGGGGCTGGCCGGGCGGGGCTGGGCGGGGCCGGGTGGGGACTGAGATCAGCGCTGACGAGAAATGTCAACATAGTGCGGATTGAGGGCGACATGGTATGGACACTGCGAGGAAGTGTGTCTATCCTGATGGCAACGAAGGCAACCACGACGAGCCTCGAAGGCGGCGCGCTCCTCAGGGGATAGAGTTTCGCGAGGAGGGACGAAACCCCGCGGGAGGTCTGTCTGAGGGACCGCGAATGTGCGGGCGCCAGCCTGAGCAACCCGAATGCGTGCACGATCCATGGCGGACATCCCCATCTGTAGGCGCTCGGGCACCGGGATAGTGTCGTCATCCAAGTCGTATTGGATAACGTCCCAAAGCTCGATGTCCTCGGGGGCGTCCCCAAGGGTAGGGTCGAGCTCGACTGAGGTGTCCTCGCCATACTCGAGAGAACAGTAGCGCCGAGAGAATGGGGCTCCAGGTTGAGCAGGTTGGGATCGACCGTGACTAGCACCACGTGACTGGGTGGCGGTGGCGGTGGATCGTGAAGAAGATGAGGCGCGGAGAAGCAACTCCGCATCTTCTGGTATTGTCGAGCAGCCTTGCAGGCTTGCTCTGAGGAGGCGAAGCTCTGTCGCCAGAGCTTGATGCGGTAGTTAGTCGGAAGACTGACTACAAACTTGTTGGTCAAAAGGACCTTAGGTAGGAGTGCCTCATCGCAAATGAGGCTATCGTCCTGAAACACTCTAATGTGACGCTCAAGGTTTGCTGGTGCGGAGGACGCGCGCCACGTCTGTGTGACCCAATCTAAGGCGTTCGTCGCATCATGGAAAGTGCCATAGCGGTCATGAAGGAACGTGGTGAAATCCGCGAGAGTGGGAGCCTCACTCGAGCGAGTACGATGGGTATAATAGTCCCATGCGGAGAACGCGCTGCCTCGGAATTTAGTTGCGAGCATAGAGCACCACAAGTTCTGACTAGTGTCGATCAGTGTCAGCGCACGTGTGGCAGCCTGCAACCTGTGCGACACACGAAGTGTACCATCGTAGTCGGGTATATCCGACAGGCGCACAAGGGTGGGACCGCTGTACTGACGGCGAGGGGAGAGAGGTTGATGGGCCTGCACTGCGGCGGCAAATGTCGAGGCCGGTGCATGGGTAGAAGTGGTGGCAGGCAGTGAGCTGGGGCTGCTGGTGGAAGGTCCAGCAGACGTGGAGGCAACGACCGCAACCAACTGTGACGGACTAGCGATGTAGGAGGGTAGAAGGGGCGGAGCCGGTCGAGGGAAACGAGCCGACAAGACAAAGGGGGGAGGGGCGGTGTAAGAAGAAAAAGGGTGAGCAGCCTGTGAAGGGTGAGGCTGTCTCAAGGAGAGAATCTCCACCTGGAGCTGCGTGATGGTGACCTGCGAAGTAGCCACGCTCTGGGTGTGAGGGGTCGGAGGTGGAGGAGGCGGAGAGGGTACCCTAGCGGGAAGAGGAGTAACGAACTACAGGGGACCCAAGGTGGGAGTGAGGAGAGGATGGGCGGAGGGAGGACTACAGTCCATAGTGTCGGGACCGAAGCGGGAAGGTGGGAAGCCACACCGGGATGAGTAGATGAAATTGTCTGGCCAAATGCTGGTATTTGGGCAGCAGCACCGACGGTAGTGGCCGAAACAGCAGGGGCGGCAGGGTCCGACGGGTGTGCCGCAACAGATGGTATAGGATGAGTGGCGGCAACACTCACCACCGCGGAGGGGGAGTGTTGAGCCTGACCCGCGGAGGAGGACGAGCCACCACGTCTCCGTCTCTGGAGTTGTGGAGAGCCGGACTCCGAGCCGGTAGGGGATGGAGTCTGAAAGCGGTGGGGAGAGCATGAGGATAACCCTTGAGGCGGTGGACGTCGAGGGCGACTGCATTTACTTGTCTCTCCAAGGGTGCAATTGCATCAAGTCGCATTTGCAGAGGTGCTAGGAGGGACGCAAGAACAACGCGAAGGTCCGTGGGGTCCACAGAGTGCTGACCCTGGACCGTCGGTTGGGTGGGCGCCTGAGAGATGGAGGGTGCCGCAACGATCTCCTCAGCTGTAGCCCCGTCCGTGGGTAGTGGATGCATGGTGGTAGACATGGTGGGAGGTAGAGAAAGGGGTGGGAAAGGA